TGGTTAATGGTGACATTCAATGGTTAATGTTGACTCAATTCAATCCAATTCAGAAATCCCAAGTTGTCAAAAAGGGGGGGGCAAGTTTAGTAATAATGTCTATGGTATGGTTGTTCTCCAACCAATAGTAGTGGTCACGGTTTATCAATGCTCTCTTCAAGGGATGGTCGGTGTGTTGTTACTTGTTACGTTACGGGGGAGCAACTGACCACATCCTGGCTGACTATTTCACGATACATGGATATCGCTAGGGACTATATTATATAGATTCATCAGAAAAACAAACCCTCTTGTGGGAACAGTGTCCATTGGTCAAACACGCGTCTTCACCGAGTCAGAAGCTTGGTCACATGATGTCACATATGTTGGCTGTGTGATTCACATATTTGTGTGTCTATAGTCTATAGTGTAAGAATGTTCCCAATTTGAATCATAGGCTACCGGTGGATTGAAACCACCAATCGACTAGCCAGTGTTTTGTATGTGCAAACTTCCGGCCCAAAAGAGGTTTGTTGCATTTCCTGGTGTAACTTGAAGCATGTTGAAGCTTCAATAATTATTGTTCTGTCCCTTGGTTTAATCATGTACTGTACCACCATTAACATCCAATATCATCTAATAGACATTATAGGACCGGATAACCCCACATGTTACCAACTTCTCTAGACTTAGACTGAGCATAGAAAAGCAAGAAGGGAAGAGGAAGTATAAGAGTGATGGAGGGGTGATGGTGGGTGCGTTTGTGTGTGTATGTATGTGCATGCACAGGTGAGTGAATGAGTGAGTGAGTGAGTGAGTGAGTGAGTGTGATGAGTGAGTGTGTGTGAGATGAGTGAGTGGGTGATGAGGGAGGAGGGCGGGAGGAAGGAGCGGATACAGAACTAAAAACAAAAACCCCACACGTCAATGTGGGGAATGAACATTTATCAAGTATTGTCTTTTTGTTCGCCAGTATGTGACCCATAATGCCAAATCACCATGGTATATCACGCAGCTGGAGCTTTTAGTAACTTGGAGTATCTCCCTCAGCGCCCAGATGAAAAGTATGACCCTTTCGTCATCTTTCGTCCTTTAGTGAAACGAACACAAACTGTCGAAGTGTCGCAGGTAAATTCCAACTCACTCAAGTGAGCAGTATATATGTTCCTCAAATCCTCAGGGACCCAAGTTTTCTTGACACCCTGCGTAGCCTGCGCACTGTTGGATTTAGGCCGAGTGCTGTTCGATGCGCTGGAAAGGCCCTCAACATGTAACAGGAGATGTTGATTTTGATGATGGTGAACCAGATAGTGGTAAACTGTTTTGAATATCTTTGAATTTGTCATTACTTTGTGATGTTTATCAATCTATCAATAATGCTGTTTCCAGATGACAAGCATTGTTCATGGTTGAAACAACTAACCAAATGTGGACATGTGGACATCAACGCTTGCGGTGTCTTTTCTCTTGATATTCATATTCCCCCACACCCCTGGTACGCGCCCGATTAAAGCAGCCGGGGGGTGTCATTCATCCGGTGTTTACATGATCGCTTCTATTTTTAACACCATGTTAATTCTTAACATGGGCACAATCAGGGCAAACCTTAGAGAGGCCCTGGCAAAAAAATGTTAATTCTTAAAGAGCATGTTTTAATATGTTTTTTTACTGATGTTACACGTGTTGTCTCCTTTTTGTTGGCTGGCTCACGCATTCAAACATTTGCTTCGCCCAAGCCTGTGGCCTATTTTTCCAGAGTCAGTGCTAGGTCGTCTTCCATGTTGGCCGAAGTAATTCGAGACCTGTCCGCGGCATTGAGGGGTTCTGACGGGGGCGGGTGAGTCCCTAGATGTGCCTAGAAAAGTGGTGGTTGGGTTCGTGCTTTCGAATCCTGATGCCAGATTCCTAGCCAAGGAGGAGCCAAAGTTCTTGTTGGGCGTGAAACACACCACCCGGTAGTGGAACCACTGACGGATGGATATTTTAGCAATTTAAGATGGGGATGTTCCATCATCCAGTTTGGAGAGAAAACCACGGGCAGTGTCTATGACAGAGTAAACAACCACATTGTTTCAAAGCATGTAGAAGCGTTTGTCCAAAAATCGGCGTCAAAATCCTGTGGTTTGTCATCATTTTCCCTGTTACACGTTCCCTTTCGCCAGAGGTACAGTGGCAAAGTGATGCATTACACCCGCTGCGCCGAGGACCTGTCGCTGGAAGACGTCATATGGTCACCGTACTGGTCACGGTTACGGATGGTATCACCAGGTCTTCAGGAAAGATGTTGGTTTACTCAGTTTACTCATGATGAGTCATGGATAATAAAGGAAATCATCCCCAAATTGGCCTTAATTCAGGTTAGTGAAATATTATCATTTACCCAGATTATATAATATTAAAAAATATATGTGTGCTCAGTTTCAAAAACATGTTTTAACCCAGAGATTCTAATTTTGCATGCTTAGCTTGCACCGAGAGGTAGTGCTTGAAACTCTACTCTGTAAGTAACTTGTGTATATTAATTACAGACGTTGGCATTTCTTTGGACCTTGGATGTGGCTCCTAATGAAGCTAAACGTGGGCACTTGTTGTTATCAAAGGCATTTCGTTGAAAAAAAACACATTGTAGACAGTACGGACATTTGTGGACACAGTCCCTGATGTTCACCGCTGGAACCCAGGAGAAGCCACTTCCAGGTGGAAAATCCCTAGGGAAATGGTTTGATCAGCCTGTGTTCAGTAGTTTTTTTTCAAATCTTGCTGGTTATGTAAAATGTGGTGCATTTTCCACCATGAAGTTTCTATGGAAATGGATGAAATCGGATCATATGATTATGATCCCCAATGACTCTTATTTACTCATATGTTTCAGATGGCTTAAAACCACCAAAAATCCAGCAATTTCCGTGGTACTCCAGGAGCGTCAGGGTCGGGTTTACGAAAGCCGCTTGGATGTGTCATGGTGGCCAAATGGTGTTGAACCATTTGTGGATCAAAAGGACCAGATTGGCCGCTGTTTTGATTTGCGGAATTTTTTTTGCAATATTCAGTGGGAAACCTGCTTTTTGACCCATTGACATCTACATGTGTTTCTTTTAAAAGACTTGGCGATATCAACATGGTGTTCGGCTGCGGGTTGGATGCATTGGTGATACATTTGTGCACAACATCTCTTCTGATTGAAAACTTCGTTAATTATCATTGTTTCTTGTTCACAACTAGTGGAATTTTGCCGATGAACAAATGAATCTCGACTGGATTTTCAGCGACAAGGATACGGACGGTCTGAAAAAAAAATTAGGGGATTTCACCTGACACACCGATGGCTGTTGCCTATGAACGTAAACGATCTCTCCCATATGTGTTGGCTAAATCCCTATTTTGATTGGTCCAGTCCCCATTCAAAATAATTATATGCATAGAATCACATGGAATAATAAGTAAGTATATTTTACACATATTATATTTATATATAGATGTAATATTCAATGTTTAGAGGAGGTCCGGTCCTATCCCTATTTAGCAGTGGTGAAATGTTGAGGCCGGAGGCCTGCGAGCTACATGGACCTCCAAGTCCCAATCCAGGCTGGGAGCGTGTCACGAGTCTGGAGTCATCACTGGTGTAAAACGTGGCGGAGATAATGGGACCAAAGTGATACAGTACTGTTTTTTTAAACTATGGCTGGTAAAAGCCACAAGTTGGGGTATTTGGGATGATGTAACCCTTACTATGGCTGCTTGGTGCTTTGGAACCATGGAATTTTATGACTTTCCATTCAGTTGGGAAAGTCATAATCCCAACGGTAGGTCAACCACCAACCAGGATATTTGAGTGCCTCTGAACATCGGTGGGATTAATGCAGATACAAGGGATTGAATGGGATGGAATTGCAATGGAGGTACATTGACTTTGACTACATTCATTGTGAACATTCATTGATTTCATGAGATCCTGGAGCATCGGATGCATGCTTTGAGAGGCTTCAATCATTAAAACAGATCTCAGGATCACACCGTGTGGCCGGCAACCTCAAACATGCCCATATCACAGATGCTGTCCCCAAAGTTGTCTTAATCCTCACATGTCACTAGAACCTTCACACCAACACACAACTGGTACATACCCATGAACATATCCTCTATAAAATGGCAGGGGTCAAGGTATGCTATATTTTGTTTTATGCACCTCCAGCGGCGCTCCTTCAGGGGGTCACTCACCCCACTTTATAGTGATTTTAAGGTTGTAGGTGAAATCTGTCGAGATTTGTTCAGGTTTTTGCAGTGCAGCCATGATCCAGGTTGTTCTTATCCACAGCCATTGATCATTTGATCAAAGATGCCTCGGGTGGGGGCACAACCTCTGAAAGGGAGCCCGGCCCTGTGCCATGTGAAGACATGCCCAGGGAAGATGGGCAAACCATTTCTTTGCATTCCTCCATTTTGGTTCCAATGCCGCCACACAAAAGGCTGGCTTCAACCTTTCAACCCACCATGAAGTTGGTGATTGAGCCAGCATCTGCCATCCTTTTGCATTCCTTGATGCCAGCCCTGGCGTTTCAATGGGCCATTTTGGAATAGTGTGCGGCTACTTGTATGATTTCCAAGTGCTGCCACTATAAAATGGCTGGCCTGAACCTTTCAACCCACCATAAAATTGGTGATTGAGCCAGCATCTGCCATCCTTTTGCATTCCTTGATGCCGGCCCTGGCCTTTCAATGGGCCATTTTGGAATAGTGTGCTACTTGTATGATTTCCAAGTGCTGCCACTAAAAAATGGCTGGCCTGAACCTTTCAAACCCCCATAAAATTGGTGATTGAGCCAGCATCTGCCATCCTTTTGCATTCCTTGATGCCAGCCCTGGCGTTTCAATGGGCCATTTTGGAATAGTGTGTGGCTACTTGTATGATTTCCAAGTGCTGGCTGGCCTGAACCTTTCAACCCACCATGAAATTGAGCACCTGCCATTCTTTGGGGTTGAAATTGCTGGGTATTCAACCCAATCACCAATTTGAAATTGGGTTGGTGGGTTGAAAGCCATTTGATAGTGGCTAGATTTGGGAAATTGTGCAAGTAGCCCACATTAAAACACAGTAGCCCACATTGTGCTATCTTGTGGGCTACTTGCGCAAATTCCCAAACCTAGCCACTATCAAATGGCTAGCTTCAACCCACCAACCCAATTTGAAATGGGTGATGGGGTTGAATACCCAGCTTTCCAGGCAATTTCAACCCAAAAGGGTGGCAGGTGCTGGCTCAATCACCAATTTCATGGTGGGTTGAAAGGTTGAGGCCAGCCATTTTATAGTGGCAGCACTTGGAAATCATACAAGTAGCCCACGCTGTTCCAAAATAGCCCATTGAGAGGCCAGGGCTTGCATTTGGAGGCATTGGAAGCAAAATCCAGGAATACAAAAGGATGGCAGATGCTGGCTCAATCACCAATTTTATGGGGGGTTGAAAGGTTCAGCCATTTTATAGTGGCAGCACTTGGAAATCATACAAGTAGCCCACGCTGAAAACGCCAGGGCTTTAAGGACAAGTAGGATGGCCCCACACTATTCAGGCCAAAATAGTGGCCACTTGGATTGAGCCAAGGCCAGGGTTGGCACTGCTGGCGGCATTTGGAAACAAAATGAAGGAATGGCAAAATCAAAATGAAGGAATGGCAAAATGGTTTGATTCTAAGTGAGGTGCTGAAATCTGTTGACTTGCGCCTTGACCATTTGTAAAGGGAACCAGTCATTTTATAGAGATTTTATAAGTAATTTCCAGGTGTTCTGGGGTCAGGCCCCCTCAAAATATAGTGTTTTCATTTGGGTTGGGGCCACTCATTTTATAAGCAGTGTCTAGTCATTTTATAGTGAAAACAATTTTATGTCTATAAAACGGCTTGCAGGACCCCCTCCCGTGTATGTTCATAGGGATACTGGTACCATACATCAAGAGAACGAGGGACTGAGGGAGTGACGAAAAAACAACAAATATCACAAAGTGCGTATTCATCGAAATGCCCAAAAGTGCTTTAACCCATACGCACACACACACACTATCATTACCCTCTGGTAAACTTACATAACTATGGAAAATCACCATTTTTAATGGGAAAACTCACTATAAATTGCCATTTTCAATAGCTATGTTAAATTACCAGAGGGTAATATACATGTTTTTTTTGGGGGGGTATCCTCGGAGACCCTCCGTCCTGAGATTCCCAGGACTGCAAGAGCTTGGAGGAAGCCTTACGACAGTTGGTGAAGCCTACGCTGCTGTCGGGGGACAACCAGTGGTTATGCGATGCTTGGAGATTTATCAGTTGAGCATGAAGTTCCATGAGACAGTAAACAGGGTTAGGTTTCTTATCTCTGTTTTCTGGGCACATACATATTTCTTTATGTTTGTTTGTGGGTTGTGAATATATGTAAATATTGTGATGAATGGGAAAACATGGAAAAACGGAAGCATGCGGGGAGACCGTTCAGGAGTTCATTTACCCTTTGGTAGTATCATTGGGGAAGACTATTGACTATGGCCTGGCCTCATTTTACACACACGCAGGCACCCATGATGCAGATCTGTTAGGGTTCCGTTAAACTGATGTGGATGCTGATGTGACAAGTTAGGAATGTGTCTATATATAGAGGCTGCTAGGCGATGGTGGGCAAAGCTGTAGTATCAGCTGGTGGGATGCGCATTTCGTCGCTGTTTGGGACGATGAAATAATGACCAAGTCACATACCAGTTACCAGATTCACGTGAGATGAGATAAGCAAGACTAAGATACAATTGGTGAATTGGCATTCATTTGCACTTCTCGCCTCTTACCCATGATCAGGTTCTCAACGAACTTTGCAGTTTCTGCTGGCACATCTGGCACCAGCCACCTGTTGGATCTGTTGGCACCACTGAAATCCTCGCAACGTTGGCACCACTTAGGAGGAGTTGGGTGAAAAAGTGGACGCATTCATCGGAGCCTCGGCAGCCGAACGGTGAAAGAGCCACAAAAAATGCTGCGCCACCAAGCCGTTGACATCACTAAGAAAGACCAAACCGTTGTGCTGGTGGAGTTTTGATATTTAGATTATTGATGTTTTGTTTCTTTCATGTTCTTTCATTTTCTTTCCTCGATTACGCAAGTTGAAACCTGGTAGAATCTGTTATGCAAGTTTCAGATGGATGTCGGATCAGCTTTTGCACAGTGAAAGTGGAAGGACGGATGCAGTAGGGTTGCTCCAACAAGTGGATCACAGCCACAAGGGGTGTAAATTGGTCATGCTACTTCTGTATCTACCCACTTTTCCCTCTTGTATTTGGGTTTGGGAGCAGCCCTGTAAAGTAAGATGCTCCACTGTTAACAGTTTAATTCATTTAACAGATGTCACGGCAGAACTTGCAAGCCTTCCGCTGTAGCTCAGGGACCACCATCGATACTCTACCCAAAATCCTTTGCTTGCAACTCCTGCGCCCCTCGGCTGAGTGGGAGTGCCTGATCCACATACACCCGAGGGTCATGAGTCATGACACCGAACAGATTGATCCAAAGAAGTTGCACGAGGCATTCCAAGGTCAGAAATAATGGTTGGCATCACCTGACCTGTGATGTCAGATGAGCTATCAGCGTGGTTGAAATGCAATACATGGTGTTGTTTTTTGACCCTCCAGGCATCGGCAACTGTTTGTGAAGGGAGTTCCCTTCACCAGCCAGGGTATAGGTGAAATGAGGCACACCTTCTGATACCAGAGCCTTGAAAGAGTCCTCAAAGCTAATGATGATTTACGTCATTGACTATCCTTATCCTTCAATCTTTTGCCTCACCACATCTTACGACATCTTACGGCCCTTCGATTACATTAGATTTTTTAAGACCCAAGAAAACGACTAGATTTTAATCATGTGTCCTAATCTGGCGTTGTTGTCAGGGTATTCAATTTTAAACAGTTATTGGACTTACAAACCAACTTAGCCAACATAAACCAGCTATATCAACATATTTTATCAATAATGCCAGTTGGTATTAGCTAACATCATAATATATATATACACATATATATATATATCAGCAATATACTGCCAGTTGTTGTGTATAAATATACAGTATATAATTATATGTTTACATATGAAAACTTAGCCAACAATATATCAACTATAGTCCAAATCAACATATATCAACGTATATCAACATATATCAGCACACACACATACATATACATAATATATATATATATATATAATATATATATATACATATCACCTATCTACACATACCACCTTTATCGTTTTCTCCATTGACTTGGACCCTTCCGGCTTTTGGGCAACTCGTTGTCCTAACGTCCGCGCCGGCCGCGCCGAGGCTTCATTTTTGATGTGCAGCTCATGCGGCGCAAGAAGCTGTCGGACTCCTTGGCCATCCCATTGGAGTCCCCTGACGTCGACACGGACAGATGTGTGTATGTATATATAGACATATATACATATTATGTATAATATATGCATTAATATACAAGATGACTCTAATATGACTAATATGATATGTATATTTGTTTATGTAAAGTTATACATATATATATATATATAACGCATACATTATAAAATAGTTGCGCTGCTAAACAGCAGCTTTGAATCATGTGCAACTATGTGGTTATATTCCGCCTGTCAGTGTTTGTAGATTTAACGTATCAAGCAGTAGCCTTTGCCAGAATCCTTGGAAGATCATCCTCCTTGGCGAATTCTTAACTGGCTCAGCATTGGTAGGATATCTGAGTACTTTAACATGTTGCTATTAATGTTTAAATGTACTAACCAGCTAAAATTGTGTTTTTTTCTTTTGAGGGGCAGCTATCTAAGATCATTCACCGTGTCAATCTTGGTAAAGTTAAGTTTTTTGTTGTTTCTGCTGTTCTTTGATTTTGTAAGAGGGCACTGAGAATGGTTATATGAATATATATATATATATTGTATTTAATTACTGGATATACATATCATATATATATTTATATATATATGCATATATATATACTAGGTACGGATGAGATAGGAGTTGTCGGAGGGTCCAGTTTTTTTGATTTCCCATCTCATGAGTAAAGTATTGTTTTTGCCCTTTGAAAGTGCCAAACTCCTATCTCATGTGGTTCTAGTAGTCATTTGAAGGATACCTGCATCAAGTTTTTACATTCCCACGGTGTGTTTTTTTAATGCTACAGGCTACAGTTTGGACACATGAGATAGGACTTAGGGCTGATTTGGGGTATGTTCACATAACCCATGTGTTGGGACTGTAGCATCTATATCCCATGAAGAATTCCCATCTCATGGGTTTCATCCTGAGCCATTTGGCAATATGGTAAAAAGCTACTGAACGTATTTTTTTTCATTTTCTCGTTGTTTCTCTAGTGTTGTTAGCTTTAATAACGGGCAGCGACATGGCTCGCGGAGAACGGACGGCCACGTGTCTCCCTGTTTTTATCTCTAACGGGAAGCGACACGGCTCGCGGGCCGCGTGTCTCCCTGTTGTTGCCTGTAACCGGTCTCGCTGTGCACCTCCGCAGTTTCCCACATGGCCTCCGGTAGCTTCCCGTTAAAAAAAAGAATGGGGAGTGGGAGCCAGGATGCCCTTCCCCGTGTAAATGCAGATGAGATAGGACTTGTGGGGATTTGACAATTTGACCAGATAAATCTAATGGCACATGGGCGCGGCACGGGAAAAATAGCGACCTCTAAAAGCAGATGAGATATAGGACTTTTGGAGATTTGACGATTTGACCTGGGAAATCTGATGCCACATGGGCGCGGCAAGGGAAAAATAGCTACCACTAAAAGCAGCTGAGATAGGACTTTTGGAGATTTGACGGTTTGACCTGGGAAATCTGATGGCACATGGGCGCGGCACGGGAAAAATAGCGACCACTAAAAGCAGATGAGATAGGACTTGTGGGGATTTGACGATTTGACCTGCGAAATCTAATGGCACGTGGGTGCGGCAAGGGAAAAATAGCGACCACTAAAAAAAGCAGACGAGATAAGACTTGTGGGGATTTGAGCTGGGAAATCTAATGGAGCATGGGTGCGGCAGGCAACGGAAAAATAGCGACCACTAAAAGCAGACGAGATAAGACTTGTGGGGATTTGGCCTGGGAAATCTAATGGCACATGGGCGCGGCAAGGGAAAAATAGCGACCACTGAAAGCAGATGAGATAAGACTTGTGGGGATTTGGCCTGGGAAATCTAATGGCACATGGGCGCGGCAAGGGAAAAATAGCGACCACTTACATATCCACATGATAGCTCTTTTGTGGGGATTTGGCCTGGGAAATCTAATGGCACATGGGCGCGGCAAGGGAAAAATAGCGACCACTTGAGCAAATGCGATATTAGTATTTGACTTGGGAAATCGAGCGGCGCATGGGTGCAGCAAGGGAAAGCTATTGACCACTAAAAGCAGATGAGATAGGACTTGTGGGGATTTGACGATTTGACCTGGGAAATCTGATGGCACATGGGTGCAGCAAGGGAAAAATAGTCACCACTAAAAGCACGTGAGATAGGACTTGTGGAGATTTGACCTGGGAAATCTAGTGGCGCATGGGTGCGGCATGGGAAAAATAACGACCATTAAAAGGCTAAAGCAGATGAGATAGGACTTGTGGGGATTTGACCTCGAAAGTCTAACTGGCACATGGGTGCAGCAAGGGAAAGCTATTGACCACTAAAAGCAGATGAGATAGGACTTGTGGGGATTTGACGATTTGACCTGGGAAATCTAATGGCACATGGGTGCAGCAAGGGAAAAAAACAGTCACCACTAAAAGCGGGTGATATAGGACTTGTGGGGGTTGATCCGGGAAATCTAATGGCACATGGGCGTAACTAGGCAAAAAGATGGGCCACTGAACGCATGTGAGATAGGACTTGTTTTTCTAGAACCATTGTAATTTCCTATCTCATCAGCCCTTGCTGCTGTGACAAAACATGAAGTCCCGATCATTTATCAGGGTGTTTTTTTCAGACTTGCATTCAGGTCTCAGAGCGGGTTCAGCGCACATGAGTTGGGAGTTTTGGCAAATCCCAGGTACCAAAACTCCTAACTCATGTGGCTATCCTAGCCAATTCCCCATAAGCGCTTCAAACAGTGGACACAAGAGATAGGACTAGACCCCAGCAAGTCCTGACTCATCCGGGGCCACAAGTCCTAACTCATCAGTACCCAGTATATATATATATTGATGTGTGTGTACTCATTAGTTGTCCACATCATTCGGTGAGTTTGTTCTACTGTATCATTTTATATCACCATGATAAGTCATTTGCCCCGTTTTCCTTTCGGCAAATATTAAACATGATGCCGAAAAAAAGGGGTTTGTGATTTCACTTGCCACAGTATGTAACTGTTTGTTTCAAAAAAAACAATTGTTTTTGTGGTTGTCAAGTTGTGATAACAAACCATAAAAATTAGGGAGTGATGTTCTGCAGCCATGCTCAGACATCCACATCGATGCAAAACTTCCCATGGTATCCCATGAAGGGTTTAGATCCATATCTCTTTTGCGATTGGGTTTGAATAGTTTAAATACAAATTGTAGTAACTCCTAGCGAGATGGAACGTAAGATAACTTAAGTAACTCTTGCCACTAGTTCCACATGATTCCACATGTTGTTCCATCTTTTTCGACCCTTTTGATGGCGAAATCATTGGGTCCTGAAATCGTCCGAAGGCTGGATGTTAACTGCTTGGGACATGAGGGGAGCTACGAACTGCTCCTTGCCCAAACTTGGAGCTGCTGGATGATCAGTATATTTATGTGGTAAACCCAATGTCACAAGTGAGAAAATCATCTATAAACTCCATTATCATCCATTTATAGTCTATATAAATGGAGATTAATGGAGGTTTATAGGGAAAATCCTCTAGAAATGTGAAAAACATCTAGTTACATGGTAAAGCCAATGCCATAAACATACCCGTTTCTACTACCAAAATTCAATCCTGTAGGTTTACTACGACCCCAAAAAATAGACGAAACAAAAACGATTAATTTTGATTAAATTTGCACATGTTAAAGGTTTACTACGTGGATAACATTTTGCAACATAGATAGTAATGTACATATAAGATGACTGCCTTAGGTTGAGGAACATGGTTTTTATTTATGGATCCTGGCCATATGTAAAATAGATTTGAAGAGAGGGGATAGACACTGTGTTTATATATGTTGTACCTTGACCCACATGAAAAACAAATCTGAAATCGCAACCCTCATGGCTCAGTGAAACACACAATAGCACATTCCATATGTTCAAGGTTCTATGGTGACTATGAGTCATGATGTTGTGATTTCCATATTATTTTGCAATATTTTGCAAGTTTTGTTTGACCTGCGCCAGACTGGCAATGTTGCTGAACACCGCACCGACTTTTTACATGCTCCAGATGTCATGTGCAGCACTCCCAAATTTTCAATAGCGATAATAGTTACAATGCACAAGCATGATGATCCTGCAGCATTTTGGCCAAGCACACCCAGATATACACATGATAAACTATGGTATCAGACATTCTCAGACAATCTCATGAAATGTCAAAATGACCAGTACTTTAATAAAGTGTCCTAAAACGCTTTGTAAAGGAGTTCCAAAAGACCAATTTAGGACACCTAATGTTTGACTCATTTTTTGCGGAAGGCCTTAGCACTACCTAAATTCCTCAAAAAATCCTGAGGGTCCAAAACAAAATAAAGCGTGGTTCAGAAATATAATCCACATGTCCCTACATGAGGGTATTGGGTTTGGGCATTTTCTAGTTGTCCCCAAGCTTATATTGAAGGAGAATATGTGCCAACATGGTTCAGACATAAAACCCACATGTCCCTAGATGAGGGTACTGGGTTTGAGCATTTTCTAGTTGGCCCCAAGTTTCAATTGACGGATAATATTTGCCAACCCGAATCCATTTATCACCCCACACAAGAGTCATCATAATTGTCATTTGTTTTTTCATTCAGCCTCGGCGAGTCACGAGACTGTGCGGACATGCAAGCATAGACCAGAAACCCAATTCAAACACACACAGCCAAAAACAAAAAAGGAGACAACACAAACGCACAAACCAAAACACACATCCATTGGGTCGTATCGCTTGTGGACAGCCACAAGGTTGGCTGGTGAAAAAAAGGATCGATTCTCACCACCTCAAAAAGTAAAATGGCCAGTACTTTTACAGGTGTCCTAAAATTTAGTGAAAAGTCGTTCAAAAAGACCAATTCAGGACACCTAATTTTTGGCGCATTGTTTGTGGAAGGCTTTGGCACTACCCAAGTAATCCCTGAAACATCCTGAAACACTTAAAGAAATGCCCCCAATAATTTTTAATATAGCACTGTGCCCTTTATGATCTTTATGGTGATGGATGGATGGATGCAAGATAGATAGCTCGCAATCTATATCTACAGGCAATCAGATAGACAGTGAACTTGCAAGTCAAAAACGGTGCGGATTCGACATTAGGATTGTTTTTTTAGGGGGGGTAGGGCAGAGGATTAACAAAAAAACAGATGTTGGATAAATATGACCAAAGTTCATAGGCCGGGGGGGACATGGATTTTATTTTCCATGGATTGTTGATGTTGTATGGATGTTATAGCTAACATCTCCAAGATTTAACATTTGTTTTTCTATGTTGATAGGCTGGGGCCTAGGAAATAATTTTGATGTCGGATTCTTTTTCCAAGGAGTGAACCTCCCTAGGCGTTCAAAAGGGGTATCATAAACTTCATAAACCTACAATTTGGGGACGGTTAATGCCAATAAACTAGTGATTTTGGGGGATGGTTTGTGTCATTGGGTTTACCACATTACTAACCTATCCAATGTCTAGAGTCTGGCGCGATTCGGAGCTACGGGTATCCATATTCCCCATTAAATGATGAGCCATGGAGCTACGAAAAGGTTCCCAGTCACACGATAGTATTTGGCTGAACGGATATGTCTATAGATATATTAATGTTTGCACACATCATCATTTTACTGGAGGTGTAAATATGTTTTGATGGATCATCAGCTATCATTCTACCATAAACAGCTAGAAAATAGATTATTGTGGGAACTATTGCCTAAACCAATGAACTTGGTGGGACACTTCAATAAGTATCATTTGTTTGCCTTTAATTGAGAGTATATACTAGCCGGTTGCGCTGAAACATGTGATTTGTTTTGCATTGTAGCTAAGTTGGCCTTGTTGATAAGTCCTCGTTCCTTGAATTCCGGTTTTGTTGGATGAAATATTCGAGTTGTTATTTTTTGGATCTATGGTATCTATGGTGCACGCAGTGGTTCAATAGAATATGGAGTTTCTGAGTTTGTACCATTCCCAAGTCTGGAAGATCTGCGGAGTTGTGATTTCTTATTCCCCAGTCTGGAAGATCCCAAGTTTGTACCATTCCCAAGTCATTGTGTAAAAATCTGAAAATGGTGGGATGTGACATTGTATATACATATCGATCAACAACCAGAACGTGGCAAACCTTGGGCCACAGCAATGCTGCGGAGCCCAGGGGCCTAGGTCAGCAGTTTGCTTGCACAGTGGGACTGCTCATGGTGGACATTACCACGCCTTCATTCGCGATTTGCACAGTGGTGCCATGGTTTCGAAAAGAAAAAGGGGGTCCCTGCCTGGCACGATGATCTTACTTCACCATACTAAATTTGTCTTTGTTTGGGGGTGACTCTAACACGTATCATATCAGTTCAGGTGAGTATCATGAATCTCCTATGTTTGATTGGCAAAATGTGTTGCATTTTAGCAGCGCTGAGGTGTTTGGAAGGATGCCAATGACTCCAGAGTGCACATTCTAGGGCAACGCCAATGCGAAGCTCTGTTTGCTGCTGAAGCCAGTGGTCCAGTGCTTTACTCTTCTGATGCTTATTTTTTGCTGCACCTTGGTAGCATAGCCTGACAACTATGGGCACGGCAGCGTTGCTCAAGATGATCCCAGTGGTCCAGAAATGATTGTGGGACAAGTCTAAGATAGCTGATGCAAGACCTGTGCTTTAAGCCACGGTCCATTTTTTTCGACGTGTTTGAAGCCTTCAAGAGGTTGAAGCGTCAGTAGTTGGGTTCAATGCTATTCAATAATTCCACTGTCCATCGTGACTGAGACGTTCAGGTGCTGGTTTATAGTATCCAAAATGATCCAAAATGCACAGAAAACAAAACATGCTTGGGACCAGTTGGAGCTGCTATGCAGATATGTCTAATTGCCTATTGCACAGTTTGTATGGGATTCCAATCCCCAATGCCCAGTGGGGCCCAAGTCGTGGCTGCAAAAATTCGACGCCAGGTACCGCAAGACTGGCATGCCCACACCGGATTTGCAGGAGCGCCTTTGGAAAGCTGTATGGCTGTATTGATATCAAAAAAAATCCAGATGATGCCTAAAAGATTATTCCTGGAAACTGAAAAAATCATCCAATTCCTCAGTCAAAACTCATGAATGCAACGGACAGGTTTGTTTTGGAGAATTTCGCAGGATTTGACACACCTCACCATTAAGCGGCTTAGTCCGTACCATGATGAGTAGTTACTTCGTTTGATTTCAAAAATACAGCGATGCTGACAGGCTGAGGGCTACCATTTCTTGTACTGTAGCTTGAAGGCTCACATATGAATGGTTCATAAACACGGGTGTCAAACTAATCTACTGTAATGCCGTGGATACTTCGGGGTACCCCTATTTTAGGATATTTTAGGAGCAACCGTGCCTGTCTCATGCCCATGCATACACTTAAGAACATATGAATGGATACCTTTTGGCAACTTAACACTGCTATGAAACATGCTCAATTGCAGATGAATTACCAGTGTTTTCCATAGCCATTTTGCACTAGTTTCCATGGCAAACTGTTATAGATTAACAGAACTCTTTCCTAATATTTCCTAATTAAATCCCCAAGAAATCTCATTATTTCATATTCTTATTATCGTTTTAGTTCGTCAAATGCCTATGAAAGCCCAGCTCCCCAGCTTCCTGGATATTTTCACATACGCCGTCGATTCAACCACAAGCCAGAAGTTTCCACATGGCAAATATATTCACATATACATATACTATATAGTAATATAGGGATTATATCTATATCTATATATATATATATTTCATATGTATACAATGTTATATACTATAAATGTTTATTTTATTGTTATTACATATATAAGCGATATTGTATGTTATAGATCTTATATAGTATATATATATATATATTATATAGAGATACCTGAAGTATTCTATAAGATTTCAGCATGAAGCCCTGGCGATCCGCCTCTGCAGGTGATGGTGCCCCCGCGTTTGAGTCGCCCCATCCTGGCAGAGAATCAGCGCCTGACGCTGCTGCAGCGGGCCTTCGAGCTGCATCGACGCCTAGTGGAGGCCCTGTACGACTCGGATGGGGATGTGAAACTCGTGGATTTCATGGGATTTCATTGGATTTTAGGATGAACAATCGTGATTTAAGATGATTTAATATTGATTTAATGGTATCTAACGGGGATTGAACTGTAGATGTCATGTAAGCTTGTCATAGCTTGTCCCTGCGCTTCCTTCATTTCTCGCAAGCTTTGTGGACTTCTCCGAACCCGAAGCCCATCGCGACCCCCCGGCGGATCGCAACACTATGCCAGATCAAATGCCAAATGGAATGCCGGGATATGTGTCAAAAAAAATCAGAAAAGATATCAGATGTAGTAGAACGTCAGATAACATGCCTGACAGGACTTTATGTCAGATACATTGCAAGATCAAATGTCAGACCAAATATCAAGATTTATGTCAGCCAGGATGCAAGTGTCAGCTATGATGCCAGATAAGAAGTCAGACAGAATGTAAGGATATATGATTCGATGTTAGATCAGATAAGGTTTCAGAGTATATATATATATATTTCAAACACACAATGCCAGATCAAATGCCGGAATGTATGTAAAATAGAATGTCAGATAAAATATGATAAAATGCCGGATGTCAGAATATTCGTCAGTGGGCGTGAACCATTCGGGGTGCCTACTGGCTTTGGCCATGCTTTTGGATCCAACATTTTTTCTTATATCCCATGTTTGGTTGTAACTCCTCCAAGATGGATCTTACAGTCGTCTTCTGTTGAATCCTCTCCGTTTGTTGGTATTTTCTACATTGCTGGGGTCCTCCAGTCCATATCTAGTGCTTTTTATCATGTTTTATCTATGTTGGTCCATTTGAATGGCTAAATTCATATTGAAGCCTGAAGTTTGGATGCTGCCCCCAGCATAAACCCCAGTATACCCCAGTTATATTCTAGCAACCCCCAAAAAGATATTAGATTCTTAGACAATAAGAGTGTTTCCAAGATGTTTCCCCTATATTTTCCAGGTTTCCAATGGTTTCTATGTTTTTTTTCTATCTGTTTTGGGGGTTTGCTAGTTACAAACCACGGTACCTGGGTCCGCACAGGTGAAAATCCACCTGCCTTCCTCGGCTCCGCTTCTGCAGCGGCGCTATTTCTCGCAGCAGCTCGCAGGCCTCGTGGAAGAGGAGGAGGAGGCCTTGGGGACCTTGGGGCACCAGGAGGTCGGAGGATGGCCAGGGGTGCCCTAAACGATAGAAACCATAGGGAAAAAATGGTGATTTAAGCAACAAATCAGGGAGATTTCCATGGAATTTGGACATGATTTGTATTGATTTGTGATAGTTAAGTTGGTTTATGTTGCTTTACGACTAGTGAATGACCATTTCAGGAATTGATTTCTTGGAGGTACCTACCATACATAATACATAATAGTTCTTGTTAGGGTTCTGTAAGGGGATATGCCGATATGCCCTTAATATGTTTTTCCCCACCTGCCAGGTGAGGGTTGTTAGATTTTATGTCAGTTGCCTGGTCCTCCTCGTCCTCCTCCTTCTCCTCCTCCTCCTCTCGTTGTCCTCCTCGTCCTCCTGCTCAACTGCGACTCGCGATCCACAGTGTTCTCTGTCGGACCTCCACCACGACCATCCACGCCCAGTGTTCCCTGCCGGACCTCAACCACGACCATCCCCGCCCAGTGTCAACCACGACCATCCACGCCCAGTGTTCCCTGCCGGACCTCAACCGCGAGTATCCCCGCCCAGTGTTCCCTGCCGGACCTCAATCACGACCATCCACGCCCAGTGTTCCCTGCCGGACCTCAACCGCGAGTATCCACGCCAAAAGATATGCCACATAGAGTGCCAGAAGATATGCCAGATAGAACGTTAGAAGATATGCCAGATAGAATGCCAGAAGGTATGCCAGATAGAATGCCAGATAGGATGTCAGCTAGAATGCCAGAAGATATGCCACATAGAGTGCCAGAAGATATGCCAGATAGAACGTTAGAAGATATGCCAGATAGAATGCCAGAAGATATGCTAGATAGAATGCCAGATGGAATGCCAGAAGATTTGCCAGATAACATGCCAGAAGATATGCCAGATAGAATGCCAGATGGAATGCCAGAAGATATGCCAGAACATATGCCAGAAGATATGCCAGAAGATATGCCAGAACATCTGCCAGAAGATATGCCAGAACATCTGCCAAAAGATATGCCAGGTAGAATGCCAGAAGATATGCCAGATAGAATGCCAGATCGAATGCCAGAAAATATGTCAGATAGAATGCCAGAAGATTTGCCAGTAACAAAATGTATAAATGTCATGGTGGGGATCACACGAAGTAAAGTAATTGTTTTTTCCGGAGGGGGATCATCCCCAAACTCTCCAAACCCTTTGGCAATCAAACTTGGCATCGGGAAATCATCAATATATAGATGGATGATTTTCCATTGCCACGTTTGATTGCCGGCATCGTTTGATTTGACAACTATAATTATGACTATATAACATTTTGCCCGGGATGTTTTGTGTTGTTTTTCTGAAAATTGATTAGTGGAAAGAAACAGGAAACCATTGAAATTTTGCCTTGGGGTAAGAGTTTTTCAGGTGTTTTGGTTTCAATTTTCCCGTCAGTTCCAGAAATGGCCGGATATTTTGATGATGTTTGGATGATTATTATTTGCATTTTGGATGAACTGTTATATTTTACCCGTTCTTTAGCACCCAATTTTTTAGCCAAGTCGGCCATTTTGGCATGGTCGTCGTTCCTGCGGAAACCTACGTGAACCACGAACATGGTGATTTCACCAGCCTTTCAGAAAGAGGTTTTGACACATTTTAACCCTGATCACAGAAACAGTCAAAAAGGAGGATAGAATCTGGATAGAACCAGCCAGAAATTGGGATACAACACATGCAAATGTCGCTGGGGGGAAATCCAAATTGAGGGTGTTTTATTGTTCACTTGCCAGTGGGCCAAGTTGTGAGAAGACATAGTAGATCACCCAATGGCCCCTTGGGTGAGGTTGCCACGTCAGGAGGAGGTTCCAGCCGTGTTCTTCAGTAGCCTGGACAGCCGGCCTGAAAAGATACTGGAAAGGGCACTGACGCAGTGGCTGCAGAGAATCCGGGAGGATGTGCGGGAATGCACTTGGGATGTGGTGTCAGCACTGTGCTTTTGGATGGTTCTGTTTTGTTTTGTATGATTTTTGGGCAAATTATGATTTTAAATGGCCTCACACTGACCGTTTGATGACCGTGTTAAAAGGATATCATCCCCCAATCCTCCAAGCAATCCAGGGGCTAACAGGGTCCAAGAATCGGATTCTCCTTTTCAAAACTATCAGTTGGTGGAGCCCACAAGTGATGTTTGTTGGTTTAGAACACCCAGTAGCTAGTTCTACATGTCTACCATAACCTCTAGTTATTGGAGCTGTGTTCAGCAAATTAGCCATCGTTTTCGGGCCCTATTTTGCATGTTCCAAAAACAAACAGTGACATTGGGATGGGTCAAAACTTAAACGGGACAGGGCTATTCGACTTTTGCCCTACCAACTGTGCCATGTTTTTTGTTTTGTACCTGCCTTGTTTCAACCCCCAAATTCCCACAAAATCATGCCTCCAATCCAAGGAAAAGCTTTGCGGAGCTGGATCGGAAGCATTTGGATCTGCAAGCTCTCAGTTCTGCTAGGCCAGGATGTGGTTAGTTGCTTTGAAGAGATCTTGCAAGGACGATCCTTGCATCAATGCTTTGCGCTCCCCCCCATGCAACTTAATATATATATATAATTATATATATATACATACATATACCTAGGTCTAGGTTCATAGCACTTTGTTTTTGGAAGACAAGGTCGTTGACTTCATTTTGAGATATCGGTCAGAAAAAGTAGTTCTCGACTATTGACTATAAAACGCCTACTTTTGCAGTTTTCTTAGGTTTTCTTGGTGTTACCCTGTTTCCATTTCATGCTGCATTCCCATGTTACAGATCCAACTGTCTTTCAGTTAGATTTTGTCGTGTTGGCATAATGTTTGATAGACCGGAAGGATGCAATGACAAGTGGCCGACAATCGAGAGGGTCAACCACCATCTACCTCTCCATCCCATCTACCATAAGCGAATAAAAATCGAAATGCAAAACTCTGACCAGTTTTATAGATATACGAGCCGGTCAATCAGCTTTGAAGTGTCAGTGGCAGACGCTTCGACTCACTGTTTCTTAGATTATGTCGCGTTTTGCGTGCGATGTGCATGAAGTTATGATTTAATGTCATGTCAGAGAGCACGTGTGCAGAATCAAGTACTTAATTAAATTGGGAGGGTGGATTTATATAGTAAGTGGTGATATAACATATCTAACCAATTTCGATATGGGATGGAAAGTTGGAAGAAATATCGTGAACACATGCAGTTTTACGATGGACCATATGGGGGGTTGGGCAAAATGGTTGGTTTATAGTGGAAAATCTTACTAAAATGGATGATTTAGGGGTATCCCCTTTTGAGGAAACCACCATATTGGACAATATTTGAAACAAAGCGATTAGTAGAGAAAATCGGACGAAAAATCCCTTGCCAGGCTTTGGCATTTCGATCCCCTGCGTGGCGTGGCCAAGAGCCTTTTCGCTGGGGCCAGCAGCGGTGGCTACGGCGGCCGCGTGGAGCTTGTTTTGCAGACGCAAGGCTCGGTAGTTTCTTGGGGATGATTTCCCCAATAAAAGCTCCATTTGTAGTGGATTTCCGTATGTTTATAGTGGAGAATTCATCCAGGTCTATCCATCCATACATTATCTCAGCTTGTAAGTGGTCAATAAATGTCAATAATCCATATGAACTGGGAGGCAGAGTTGATTTTTCCATGCTGCTTGGGATGATATTCCCATCATGCCATGCCATGAGACCAAGCAGAGATGATGCCAAGTCAAGCGTACGGTTTGCAGCCAGGTGGGGTATCAACACAAATGGCATTGGTGGCGCGTTGTATCAACAGTCAACAGAAATGGATGTTGTGTCCTCAAGGACCTATCGATATCTATGGTGTATGATGTTGGGGATGGATTTTACGCCACAAGCCAGTGACACGAATCCGCCAGCGAATATCCCCCACATATAGATCACAACTGTAATTTCCATCCAGCCAGAAAAGACCACAGGTGACTATCAAATGATAAAACCCACATCTACACACACATACACACACTATAGAATCTATCTTCTTGAGGTTTAATAATCCCGCCAAAGTTGCAAGTGAATTTGAGATTCGAAAAAAACAAGGTTCACATGTCATATCTGAACAAACCTGGAAGTCTACCCTGATGCAATCGCTCGAAACTACCTTGGGACGGGAAATGCATCCTGGGCTTTGGACATTGGGCACACCCGAAAATGGAGAATGATTGCGTCAAAAATTGATTTCAGGGGTACACCATTTCTGATGAAACTCTCTATCCTGGGTCAACGTTTGAAGGAATGTGTCCTTCAATAAGACTGGCCAATCAAAAGTTGGTCTACAGTCCCATCGAACGATATTCGACTATGGGTACATCATGATACATTCAACACAAATATACCCAGAAGTAAATACTCATAAATATCATCCAGGAATACCATAAACAATCATAAAATAGCCAAAAATATTCAGAAACATTCATGTAAGAAATATCTATAAATTTCCATCATGATCAATCTGTATGCATAAATCCTAGTCAGTAACTTACCAATCTATTTCTACCAGGCCCTGAGCCATGTGCCGAGCCACACACGGGGGAGTTGCTGCTCCTGGTGCTGTGGCCCTCTGGGCAGCGGTTGTCGCTGCAGCACACCACTACGGTACCATGGTGTAAGGTGCAGCATGGGGGGCTGGAGATCGGGAATCAAGAGATTCCGGATAGATCGGATAGGTTTGTTTGAAAATGGCCGATGGTATAATATATATATACATATATGTATTTATGGGTCTATATAATTATACTCTCTCTATATATATACATATATATATATAATCGTGCGTATATATACATACATATGTAAACGGTATATGTAAGTATGGTACATGTATAATATTGTATATAATTGCATATAATTATATATGTGTGCACTGTTGTTTATATATATACATACAGATGTACACACACACATATACATATATATTTGCATTTGTGTATATATATATATAGAAAAAATCCATACATATTATATAAGTATATGTATTTAATATTATATAACTATGGGTTTATCTATATTGTGAATGGACGCTAACATGGATTGCTTGCCAACCCCAAGCAGCTGAGCATGATCTCAGAAAAACATCACGTTTGGCTGTTGCATGTACCCAGGCAACGGGCCTTTCTGATGGCTACTGCTGAGGGGTTATTTATATGTATTTCCTCATATATATATATATATACAGTATATGTATGTTATGTATGTGTTGGTTCATGCATTGTATCATTTGCAATGGTCCCATATTCTATAGCTCTCGAACTGCAGTTGTTCAATAGCGAAAAGGAGTGTAAACCATTGGCTGGGGGGGTCTGACTACTAAGACAGCCCCATATGTTCAAGGTATGATTGGTGTTTGTTTATTTCAGCATCCGCTGCCTAGATGGCAAAGCTGTGATAAGAAAACGCTCCAAGGTGATACTATACAGGACCCTGGTGACACTGAGCAATTTATGCTATGGGATGATACAAGGCGGTGCGCCAGTTCGTGAACGCTAAGTCAGCGAACATAGCCCCAATGACATGAATTTCTGGTAGATATGTCGAACTAGCTGGGGCATATAAAGCAACAAACATCACCGGGCACCATCTTGGACTCACGAGGTTTGTCCAGCCAGCCCTGTAGCATGGACTTGGCATGGCATGTTCGTTTGCTAGGTGGTGAAGCAGGAAGACGAAAACTGCAAGGCCAGATGGATGTGCAAGCTTTGTTACATATCACGGGATATCATTGCATGGGATATCATTGCGCTGTCCATGCTTGAGAAAATATCTTAATTAACTATATTTAACTGTATCTTCGGAGTATACGTGACATGCATGGAATTTGAAGATTCAAAGCATATTCAAAATTCAAAACCTTGCTTGCCTTGGGGTCGAGCATTGGTCCATACGGGGTGGATTACAGTAGCCCCATTGTACTAATTTGTCGTCCCGAAAATTGCCCATATACCATCCGGTAATTCATCATATAGCTATTGAAATTCACCATGTTTGGTATAGGTGGCTAATTTGCAAATAGGAATCGGAAATATTGCAATTTTTCCCAAGGTGCATTTGTATTTTCATTTGTATGCATATTCCCAGGCTATAAATGTTCGTTAAATTATGCCATTTGTATCACCATTTGTATACATTATCTAGGTATTCATATTGCAATCAAACTGTCACAAATGGGTATATCAAATCAATTGTTTGTATACCACTTGTATTACCATCTGTATTTTCAATATTCAGTGATTATACCGTTTGATGGCAGGATGCTGGAATATTCAATGATTCAACCATTAGATTGTTAATCCCCATGAAATAACCATGTGTGTGTACTATGTGTATGAAATTGCCATTTGTAATATGCTGTTATTAATACCAAAGGCCATTATAATTATATAATTTGAATAGATATCCATTTTTAAATAATTACTTACAGTAGTCGAACTTCCGACTTATGGACAGATGAAGCAGCAGTGGTCAGAAGAGTCAGAGAAGAGAAAAAGTCAGACAAGAGAGAGTCAGGAGAAAAGTTGCGAAACACTGCGTTTTCTCCAATGTTTTGTGACCCTGGAGGGTCGAAAAGTAGGCTCGCTAAAGCGGCGGGTGCGGATGCTTTTGATCGGATGACAGATCAACAATTGTACGCTGCTGTGGTGCGAAGCACATTTTGAAGAAATGCTAAAGACACCTCAGCCCTGGAGCTATTGGAAGTTGAGATCTCGAAAAAGTGCACGCACGCCCTTGTGGCGCACACTTGGAAGATTTTGGAAGTCAAAAGGTTGGAAACGCCTCAGTCTCAGAGCGCTTTTGGAAGTTGAGATGTCGAAAAAGTGCACCGTGTTGCGGCACGAAGCACATTTAGAAGCCAAATTAGTAAAAGCGCACAACCTTCGGACCACTTTTGGGCATTGAGTGGCGTTTTCGTGCCAGGCGCAATGGATTCTACACCTTTACAAAATTGAGCTCGATGCGTGGGTTTTCTAACAGTTTCAAAACGATGGCAGGCGTGGGACGTTTGAGGGGAATCTGCAAAGATGAATTTCGGGTGGCAGGCGTGGTACAATACAAGAGACACATCCATCAAACATGTTAAGAGGTCAGAGCACTGATTTCCTGAGACAGGCTGCATTTTGGAGCATCAGACGTCAGAGTTCCTAAGGTGATTTTGCGTGACAGGTGCAGCACGTCTTATGACCTGGCCTTAGTTAGAGAGAGAGAGAGAGAAGGAGAGAAGGAGAGAAGGAGAGAAGGAGAGAGAGAGAGACGGACGGACGGACGGACAGTTTTTGATCTGCAAGACCAAGGCACAAAAGCAAGGTTCACCGTCTCACCTTGCAGGGTTCCTTCAGTTTCTTAGAAAGATTGCCCCCAAGCGTGAGCAGCCCTTTACAAAGGTGGCAGCTAAACTTGTTGCCCTGCAGATGAGACATGGTGCGGGTGTGGTGCAAAGCTGTGTGCAGTCTACGGACGGACAGATAGATAGATAGAGTGATAGATAGAGTGATAGATAGATAGATAGATAGATAGATAGACAGATGGATAGGTGGATGGGATGGATGGACAGACGGATGGATAGGCGGATCGTGAGATGGATAAACAGATGGAATGATAGATGGATAGCTGGAGAGAAAGATGGAGAGAGAGAGAGAGAGAGAGAAAAAGAAAGAGAGAGAGAGAGAGAAGGAGAGAAGGAGAGAGGGAGAGAGAGAGAGAGAGAGAGCCTGCGAGCCTCAACGCTCTGCCATCCAGGAATCACAGCAACACCCCTCTCTCATAATATCCCATAGGTATCCTATTTCTGAAACTTCCGCCACCGCCTTGCGTGGTACTACTGGTACATATTCATCATTCGATCAAAATGGTTGTTAACATAAACTTCATTAAGGTGATATGTTCATTGGTTATACCATTCCCCCACGAAATCACCATTTGTATACCTTGGGTATTAAACTACCATGTGTATATCAATGGTTTATCAAACTGTTAGTCATTGAGGCTGCAGCTTCCGGCCTTACGCCACCAGAGACTTTGCAGCCTGAAGCTGCTGCCGATTCCAGTGACGACGAGCTGCCGGAGCCGTGGTGAAGGGGGGAAGTAAATATAGATAATATCGGTACGCGCCTCGCATTTGACCCTACCCCAATGGTTTCGCATATGACCCTACCCCCATTTTGGGGTAGGGTCGAATGTGAGAAAGTAGCGTTTTTAGCTGTGAAAAGAGGGTCCCGGAGATGATGATGATCATGATGATGATGATGATGATGGTGATGATGATGATGATGATCATGATGATGATGATGATGATGATGTCACACACAACTTTGTCACATACAACTTTGTCACACACAGCTCTTTCACACAATCTGTCTTCCACCATCTCCTTTACCTTTGCTGCCTTTCCCCTCCCATCTTCTTGGTTGTTTTTTGCTTTTGGAAGAAGTTGGCATGTGGGGTTATCCGGTCCCATAAGTGACGATGATGATGATGATGATGGTGATGATGATGATGATGATGATGATGATACCAATGAATGTAATTGTTCAAGGGGGGCTGGTTGATTTCATACCAATGAATGTAATTGTTCAAGGGGGGCTGGTTGATTTGATACCAGTGAATGTCATTGTTCAAGGGGGGCTGGTTGATTTGATACCAATGAATGTAATTGTTGCATGTAATTGTTCAAAGGGGGGCTGGTTGATTTGATAGCAATGAATGTAATTGTTCAAGGGGGGCTGGTTGATTTCATACCAATGAATGTATATAATTGTTCAAGGGGGGCTGGTTGATTTGATACCAAAGAATGTAATTGTTCAAGGGGGGCTGGTTGATTTGATACCAATGAATGTAATTGTTCAAGGGGGGCTGGTTGATTTGATACCAATGAATGTAATTGTTCATTGTTCAAGGGGGGCTGGTTGATTTGATACCAATGAATGTACTTGTTCAAGGGGTTGATTTGATAGCAATGAATATAATTGTGCAAGGGGGGCTGTGATTTATACCAATGAATGTAATTGTTCAAGGGGGGCTGGTTGATTTGATACCAATGAATGTACTTGTTGAAGGGGGGCTGGTTGATTTGATACCAAAGGGGGCTGGTTGATTTGATACCAATGAATGTAATTGTTCAAGGGGGGCTGGTTGATTTGATACCAATGAATATAATTGTTCAAGGGGGGCTGGTTGATTTGATACCAATGAATGTAATTGTTCAAGGGGGGCTGGTTGATTTGATAGCAATGAATGTAATTGTTCAAGGGGGCTGGTTGATTTGATACCAATGAATGTAATTGTTCAAGGGGGGCTGGTTGATTTGATACCAATGAATGTAATTGTTCAAGGGGGGCTGGTTGATTTGATAGCAATGAATGTAATTGTTCAAGGGGTGCTGGTTGATTTGAAACCAATGAATGTGATTGTTCAAGGGGGGTTGGTTCACGGATGTCTGGTTTGAGGCAGGGTAAAGTGGGGTATGGTCAAATGTGAACCGGGAAATGTTGTTTTTTTCCTGGAAGGGTTGCGTATTTTTGTTAGGGTAGGGTCGAATGTGAGGGTGCGTGCGGTTCTTTTGGAGTAGGGTCGAATGTGAGGCTGCGGTAGGGTCGAATGTGAGGTCCGTACCAATACCCCAGGGTAAACTCACATAATAGATGTGGAAAATCGTAACCATTTGCAATTTGTAGACTATTTTTGCGGGGAAACAATGGTTCTTCCACATCTATGTTAGTGTACCGTGGGGTACCCAATAAGAGTTCTTGTGGATGTAACCAGTAAACTTTGTGATTTAATGGGGGGATCCATCTGGTCATTTGACATAAACACATAGGGTGGTAAAGAATAAGAGTTTTGCTTCTCGTAAAAAAATATGTGAAATATGCCCCTGTAAAAACATGGATGTTTAGCAAGGTGTCCCAGACTAGCTGTGTAGATGGGAAACCATTTTGTTGAGCCTGTGGTTGCCAGTTAAAACCATACTGTAGATTCTGTAGAGATCTGCAGGGCAAAAAACGCATTCTATATGTTTCTACCACGTTTTTTTGTTTGAGCATCCACTTTATTTCTGGTGAATGTGATAAAACCCAAAGTGATAAAACCCAATGGCATAAACCATCCCCAAATGAGGTTGATGATTGATATCTCTAGTATCTCCCAAAACCAGATGACGCAAATTGATCCACAGTCATGGTTGGTCACCGCTCCATGTGAGGACATCTTCGATTCTGCAATGCCAGTGAGGTCCTTTGAAGAAGGAAGGGGGCTGTTTACGGTGCAGGTACCCCCCTTCTACGCCATCAGCGTCTTGTTGTTCAGCCACGGGGATGAAACATTTGTTGGTGTCATAGAGATTCTTAATGAGTCATGATGAAAAATCAGAAGGATCGGAATCACTTTAATTGTTTAGCGACCGTAAACATCGATGATGGTTTGCACTGGGGAACTGGGAAATCAGCGAAAACCGCCTGAACTAAATCAGTCTTTGACAGCGATTCTTCTTACCAGCAGCTCACTTTGGGACAGCGATTTCTTGGCATGTTTGGACCAGAGAATGGCCTTTGTAGAGGGCATGCCTGTCCAAACCCTAAATGGCCCCAGAATGAGGAAAATCCACCATTTGGACTTCTGTGGCCCAGATGTCTACCCAATTTCCAAGAAGTTTTCGCCGTTTCAATTGGATTTACCGACCCTACTATTTTGACATACATCATACATATGGTCAGATATGTTCAGAACACATATATTTTGGGTGATGAACATCACTTTGTTTGAAGGTTATCATCCCCAACCAACTGGATGGGTAGTTGAACCCTCTAGTTGTTGCTTTGGAAAATAACCAGAATCACAAAAATAAATGACTTGTTTTGTGGACAATCAAAAATTGACCATGGGATATTCTATATATATATATAGATATATATATATTATATAATAATGTATATATATATACATATATATATATATATATATACATGTATATTTAGTAAGTGGGTTAAAATTGACCCTGTAAAACAAAAAACCTCTTTGACTTGGTTAGCTGCGGCATCTCCAGACCTTCTGGGCCGAAGCCTTCGACCTTGGCAGACGTGCGCAGTGCTGCAGCAAAGCTATGGAGTGATCCCGGTGGGGGGGGCAGGCAGTTCACCACCATGCCTGGCTGGTGTTTCTTAAAAGTATTGTTACCCTCTGGTAAACTAACATAGCTATGGAAAATCACCATTTTTAATGGAAAAATCAACTATAAATGGCCATTTTCAATAGCTATGTTAGTTTACCAGATGGTACACACACACACATATATATATATATATTTATATACCCCGCCCCTCAACGAGAAGTACCTCGCGAACCGCAGGAACCTCCCACTTGAAGCCACTGTGCTGGTGGCACTGACGGGTATGCAGGCTGGAGCTGAAGAGTCATGGGGAACTTTGAACTTCACATCGCCCTCCAATCTAAACACGTTTAATCATAGTAACCCAAAAAATAGAAACGTATGATTATCACTATTGTAAGTAGGATTTTGCATTTCTTTTTGTTTGGGGTGGAATTGAAATATTTCTCACAATCCATGACACCATGACACATTGTGATGAACCAGCGGGTGGAATTTTTGTTTTCTCCTTACCATTTTCGGACAAACCTGCATGCACTGGTAGATATGATATAGTCATTGTGTAGGTGAACCGTGTAGGTGAAACATGGCAGTGGAATGATGGATTGTTGTGGGCCCATTAAGACCTGATATGCTAAGAAGAACATTTGGAATCCTGGTGGCCTCCCTGTCAGTTCTGGAATGGCTATCCTGTGGGAATGGCACTGAAAAATCCACAATGGAACCATGGCCTTATAACGATATTAATTACCTATTTAAAAGTCTTTTCGGGTCATATAATTCCATCATCGGATGTGAGTTCAGGCGGGCCAAGAAATTGAAGGTGATGAAGTCACATTGCAAGAGCCCGGGGCCCGAGACCGGGGATGGTCGTTGGATTTCCGACGGAATTTCCGTGGGGAAACTTCTGAAAATGGAATCGTGTCATAATTGGAGATAGAATCTACGAAACTTGGGGTATGTTAAACCCAATTGTACAAGAGTTTATATACAAGGGGAAGCAGTGCAGCCAGCAACAACGCTAGCTGGCTGAACTGAACTGCTCCTTTTTGTCACTGGACCTGGCTCGCCTTTAGCCTGTGGCTAGACTCCTGGAGATGGCGATGGGAGAGGGAGGGAGAGAGAGAGAGAGAGAGAGAGAAGGAAGATATCAACTCCATCAAAGTTGGTGTGGGTCTATTTTCAGAGAGAGAGAGAGAGCCATAATAGCCCAAAAGATGGGGATGTAAAACGATGTAAAAAGACCATTGCTTTGGGCACAGGTGGCATCCACACAGAGTCCGAATTGGAACCCGTAATTCTTATGTTGTCCATTTGGTGGCTAAGGCGTGAGGGTTACAACATGTTACAACCCACGAAGAAGGTGAGGTTGGCAGGAGCAACAACATTTTTTTAACCATGGACTTTAATCACCGCCTCTAAAGCTTCATGCCACTCCCGGTACGAAATTCGTTGAACATGCCGGCGAGGTATAATTCGATGATTCTATGCAAGAAGAAGTTTGTAATCGTATAGTACCCTCCAGCAACCAAACGTGGCAATTGAATAATTATCCATTGTTTATAGATGAATTTCCCATTTAAACCTCAATGTGCATGGGATGTTTCATTGCCACGTTTGATTACCGGAGGGTATACGCCAATGGCTACACCTTGGTGACAAAATCGCATGGAATCGGGGTTACAACTCCATGATGCTCGCTGGCCATTTGCTACCTAATGGCAAACTCATATTTATAGAAGTGGGAAGCCTACCAACCCCTTTAAATCTTTAAAACCAGGCTAGACACACCTCTTGTTTCATATCCAGCTTTGTTGTTTTTTCCCCTGCTAATCAAAGCTGATGACATGACGACACCGTGCCGTGCAGGTGTGGCTTGTCTCCTGACGACATTCTTTGCGTCGAGCAGCGTTTGGATGGAGGATGGGGCCTTCCGCAACGATGACTTGGGAGGGTCGTCGTTTACCGGTTAACCAACTGGGCCTTAATATAGCTGGGCAATGTTCTATATTTATCGACTGGTGATACAGTCACCGTGATTATTGGTCGCTTGCAAGCTGCGATGGACGGAACTCCGATTTTGCATGACGACATGACAGATGGGCAGTGAACTTCCATGTAATCAACCAATCATGTGTTTGCCTCCATCAGTGTACATCCTTGCGTGGTGAAACATCAGGGTATAACCACGCGTATTGCACTCTGTATCACACTCGCTTTCAAATATCTTAGAGCAACGGAAGTTTAAAAAAGATGAGGTGGGCCAAAAGTGCAGAGTCGGAAAAAACAAAGCCAAGTACAGAGGTCGGTGATAAAAACAATATTGATTCAAAACAAGGTAGGGCCTGCCTCTTCTTTTGCGGCATCCTCAAAAATATGCGAACCGCACATCTATCAATGTCACTATCTACCTATCTTTCGTTCTATCTATCCATCTGTCTGTCTGTCTGTCTGTTTGCCTGTTCGATTGTCTGTCTGTCTGTCTATCTATTTGTGTTTCTATGTATCTATCTCTATCTATCTCTATCTATCTCTATTTATCTCTATTTATATCTATCTATCTCTATCTATATCTATCTATCTCTATCTATCTCTATATATCTATATCTATCTCTATCCATCTCTATCTATCTCTATCTATATCTATCTATCTGTCTATCTCTATCTGTCTATCTCTATCTTTCTATCTCTACCTATCTATCTATTTATCTATCTATCTATCTATCTATATATATATATAGCATTCTTTCTGTATTTCTATCTATCTTTCTATCTATCTTTCTATCTGTATATCTATCTGTCTTTCTTTCTTTCTGTTTTTTTCCTTTCTTTCTTTCTTTATTTTTGTTTCTATATACATACATATATATATGTATATCTATCTATCTATCTATCTATCTATCTATCTATCTATATCTACATATACATATATATATACATATATGGTACATATATATATATGATATTTATATATATATATGATATATATATATATATGATATATATTTTTTTTATTTGTATATACAAATATTTATATATATATCATATGTATATATATATATATATTCTATATCTATATCTATATATATATATGTTTATATTTCTATATCTACTGTATATCTATATGTATATACCTATATATCTATATATCTATATATTTATATATCTATATATCTATATATCTCTGTATCTATATATCTCTATATCTCTATATCTCTATACCTCTATATCTCTATATTTCTATATCTCTATATCTCTATATCTCTATATCTCCATATCTCTATATCTCTATCTATATCTCTATATCTCTATATCTCTATATCTCTATATCTCTATCTATCTCTCTTTTCCTACCTAAATCCAAGTATAATTCTAATCAATTTAGTTTAATCTATATAATCTAATCTAGTCTAATCTAATCGAAACTCATCAAATCTATGTACAGCATCTATTCGTGCAAAGGAACATGCGCGAGCCATCCTGAACTTTTCACTTGCACGGGCTCAAGCACGTGACTCACCGACCTGGAAAACCCCCCTTCGACTACACTGTGCCATGGGCTGCAGCAGTTCCCGAAGCGCTCCTCCCGCGGAAGAGACCGTGGATGAGACCGCGGATGAGACAATGGCCGAGCTCCAGACTTTTGCCTTGATGAAGGATGGGGGGTTCAATCGGTTCCATCATACGTTTCAGCTACATGCATGAAGCATTTTCTGGTGGCCAATAGGTGGCTGATTTTTGACATGTTTGACCCCATACCCGTCTACTTGACCATTTGTTGGCTCAAAATTTAAAATTGAAGTGCCTTCCCACCCCCAAACAAACATAGAACCTGCCAAATAGAGTGTTGAAATGCTACTGTCCGCTAAAACTAACTTTATATAACTAGTAGGGTTTATGTGAGTTATGTGAATTTTGGAAATGGCAAAAATGGCAACTTCTTGAAAACTGTGGGGCCCCTGTTGAAACATTGTGTAGCCCTGAAGAACGCGCCCGGCTGCACGGGGATGTTTTGGCGCGCCAACCCTGTGAACGGCAAGAAGGGCAGCAACGACAACTGGCCCCGGGATGGGGCGCAGTTGAAGGGCATTGTGCATGAAGTGAAAGGGGCCCGATGGTTGGAATGTAGCTGGTGAGTGCCAAGATGTTTCATGTTTCTTTAGATGGTTGCATTGGTTGCCGATTTCAAGGTTCTTTTTAGCTACCTTATTACTCCCAGGTCCCAAGATCTCCCAAGTTATTTTTGGTCTTCGTAGAAAAATCAACATCTCAGGTAAGGAGGTGAAACAGCATGGTGGCTCTTGGAAGGCTTGTCAGAAGGACCAGTGGATGCCATTCAGATATTCGCAGTACTACTTGCAAGAGGCCTGACGCATGGCGAACCACCAATCGTTTTTAGCTCCGTGTTGAACCCTGGTTTTTCCGCCGATTTCGATGTTGGGAGGATGTCCCACAACGGAGGTCCAGCTGAATTTCCAGATTGGGGGGCTGCTAAAGATCAGTGGCCATATGGGTTTACCATGTTTTACAATGTTTTACCTGAAAAGAATCATTTTGGATGGCTTGCTTTGCCTGGTCCCCAATTTAGAGAAACACTGAGTCTTCAAGTATCTTTTGTCCGAGCCTTTCGACGGATGGTCGAAGTGTGAAGAGGGCAAGCCTTGCACAGACAGCAGACCACTTTTGGCAGTTCCTGTGTAGTTGTACAGCTCTATGGCTGCACGTTTGCTGGATAAAGCACAAAAAGCAGCTACCTCGGAGCTGCACGCAACTGTTGGCACTTGCAATCGCCACCCGAGATTCCTGGACCCTGTGCTTGCAATAGAGGGTCCCAATCACAACCCACAGAGAAGTTCCTGTACAAAGTATCCCTAACTCATGTCAAAATGTTCACCCCAGTTACAGGAAGCTCTAATAATAAAGCAGTTTCAAAACATATCCGCCGGTGCACGGTTGCAGTCGATTTTATGTATGCACTATATTGTGAAAGTAAGTATCAAACCATGCCTGCCGACCGATCAATCCAGCTGTCCAGTCATCACATGTGACACCTGACCTCTTCCACCGTGCCCGGTGGCTCAAGCTACATCATAGCATGCGGCAACAAAAGGCAGCACGGGGAATCTTGTGTTGTTGGCACTTTTGGTTGTCAGTTTCATACTGGCAGCGGAGCTCAGACTCCGGGGATAAAGCCTTTGGTTTGGTCCTCAAACACACGTGGGAACCCCCCCAACTTCATAACCTTGCCAGTGGCCCCGCATTTGCGCCATGGCCATACTGGAAGTCCTGAAATGGACTACGTTCAGCACTACGACTGAGGAATCGACTTCAACAGAAGGCAAAGCTGGAGTGCCGAGGTTTGATGGAGACCCAGCACGACTCAGCGAGTACGCCTTCAGGGTTCGCCTTCGACAGGCGAGGGAGCTCAGCATGGCCGAGGACGAGGTGAAGAAGCTTGGACCTCTCGCTCTACGGCTAGTTGATGGACTTCGTGGAGCAGCTCTTCAGGTGGCGCGCACCTTGCCCGTCGACGAGCTCGCCAACAAGGAGAAAGGAGTGGAATTCCTGCTGAAGAGCCTGAATAGCTCCTTAGCACCGAGGAGCAAGCAGGAGGCCAGGGATCTGTACCAAGCCGGGGCACAGAATGGCGGGATTCTCAGCAGACAGCGTGGAGAATCCATCGCCAGCTACGTTCTGAGGAGACGTGCCTGGTACAGAATGATGACGGACCTGGACCCAGACCTGAAGCTCCCACCAGGGATCTTGGCCGAGCAGTTGCTGATGAATGCAGGGATCAGCGATGACCACAGGTTGCTGATCAGGACGGCCATCAAGGGCGACATGGACTGGGAGAAGGTCTGCGAAGAGCTCGTGGCCCAGCACAGCAGGATTCACGAGAAAGAGAAGGGCAGCAGTTTTGGAAAGGGCTACAAGTCCTCAGCTTTCAAGGGCTTTGGAAAAGGGAGCAACCCTTCCAAAGGCAAGTGGCGCTCCTACTTCGTTGAGGATGACGACCAGCAGGATACATGGGAGAGCGCTTCACAGTCCCTTGGTGGCTACGAGGACTACATCGACGACACCACTGTGTACCATGCCGAGACTGCGGAGCCCTACATGGATGACGGCGACCCCATCCACATGGCCTACCAGGCAATGGTTGATGAAGGTCTTGATGAAGAAGACCCAGAGGCGGTCGAGCATGCGGCCGACATCCTTCAGGCGGAATCAGAGGCCTACCATGCGCGGTTGCGCGCACAGTCCACAGGCCACTATGGCTTTTGGGGCAAGGGACATGGCCGACAATTCCAGGTACATGGAAGCCTGAGCTTGGAGGAAAAGAGACAGCGCATCCAGGCACTGAAGTCAAAGTCCTCTTGCCGGCAATGTGGACAAGTTGGACATTGGGCAAACGACCCGATCTGCCCGAAGGGATCCAGAAAAGGGAAAGGCAAGGGATCTACAACGTCTACGACAAGTACGGCATCGACGAAGGGAAACAAGTCCCACAAAAGCAAGGGATCAGAGCCCAAGCAGCGCACCGTCTACTTTGCGATCAATGAGTATGACGAGCACACCACTGCAGACTCCAGCAGCTACATGGTGACAGGCAACCTGACGGATGCAGAGAAGACAGCAGATGAGATGCTGGATGCAATGATTGCCCAAGCGCAACTGGATCGAGACCATCGAGATCGAGCTCATCAAGTTCCCATGAGGCTTCAAGCAGGACAAGTTCACGGAGTTCCACATCAAGGACAAGATCTACATGGTCTACCTCATGGACATGCTGGACAAGATGGACAAGGACAGCCGTGGCAAATGGTGGCACCCTTTGCAGTGGAGAACATTCCATTGGCACCTCAGATGATGCAGAGGCTGCTGAATGAGCATGAGAGGCTGATCAACGAGCCTGAGACCCCATTCTTCTCAGCCTGGGGATGCTCACCTGAACGAAGGGCCTATTTGGAGTACTACCTGGAGGTTGTCAACGACCACACAGATCCAGATTGGCAAGATGCGTATCAGGAGATGTGGAATGAGCGAGTGCCAGGGCATCCACTCTTTTGTGAGTCCGACCGCATCAATTTGGTGAGGTGGGATGCAAAGGCGCGACAGGGATTGCCTCATCTACCAGCACATGTGATGAGCCCCATACCCGAGGACGAGATGGACAGAGATCTCTTTGAAGATGATCATGACCGATCACAAAGGCTGCGCAAGAAGTACGGCATCGACCCTGACCAGACACCAGGGAGCCTGATGACACCATCTACCCCGACATCTACTGAATGCATCCATGCCAGAACCACGACGCATGGATCCAATGACCGTAAGAGGATCCTGAAGTGCAAAGACTGCGGCATGGTCTTGCATGAGGAGAAGCTCACACCTGCGGAGAAGATGAAGACAACATCTCCCAAAGAATGCCCTCACGATGACCGTGACTACAGAGGCACCACCGGAAGCACATGGAAGTGGAGATGCAAAACTTGTGGGCACACCGCATCAGGTGAGAAGTCTCCTGGAGAAACTGCCCGAGCCGCCAGTGCCAGATCAGAAGGATCTGTATCGCCAGCTCCGACGACGCCATTGAGGACGCCTCAGGTTTCACCTGGCTCTACGATGGCAACAGCGCAGGAGGACTATGAGGTGGACAGGATCGTCGACCTGGTGAGGCACGTGGTGGATGTTCAGAGAGAAATGGGGCAGGTGATCTCGCTCAACCAGCTGGACAAGATCTATGACAGGTGCCGCAGTGCAGTGGCCAATGATCCTCGACGACAGCAAGCTCAACCAATGAGGTCAAGAAGTGGCAGTGCAGCAAGATCTTCAGCACCAGCGGCAGCAACACCAACTTCGGTGGCACCCTCTCCAACGACTCCTGGCCAAGCTGAAGATGTGCATGCACTGGATGACAAGATCCTGCAGTCAGGCGCTTACTATGGGCGCACCTATGCCAATGTCTACTGCAATGAGATGAACTACCGCAAGGCGATGATCGGAAAGCTGAAGAATGGATCTTTGAGCAACCCCCACATCATCGACTTTGCCAAGTATGCGGCCCGACGACATGAAGAAGAACATTCAGGTTCGAGAGCCTACATGGTGGCTGAACATCCTGGACAAGTGGATGAAGACCGCATCATGGCAGTCCTCGACACGGGTTGCAACAACACCTGTCATGGTGACAGATGGATGATAAAGTACATGCAGAAGACCGGCTTCAACCCCAAGGCAGAGATGGCCGACGGCAACTTCAAGGGTGTTGGAGGCCGAGTTATGGTGGCTTGCAAACGAGAGATTCCGATCCACCTCAAGAGCTTGGATGATGAGATGGTCCCAGGTACAATCACCTCAGTGGAGCTTGAAAACTCAGATGCTCCACTGTTGCTCAGCGCAGGTGCACAACAGCGATTGGGCCTGGTGATTGACATGGGGAACCAGACGATCTACAGCAGGACTCTGGATAAGGAGCTGGAGCTGATCATGCATAATGGCCTGCCTTCGATCGTGCTTCATCCTGGAGAACATGGTCTTGGCAACATCGTGCTCGCCGTCACCGAGGAGCAGATTGATCTCAAGGACGTTGCACAGAATGACGAGACTTCTGAGGATGAAGACATGGCCAAGTATGAGGACAAGCTCTCCAATGACGAGTTGGACAAGATCAATCGTGGTGGCAGCGACTATATGCCCATCACCGAGGGCAGAGTCAAGGTGATGACGCGTAAGCAACGCAAACACCTTCAAGAATCACTGGAAGAAGTGGAGAAAGAAGACTGCGCAATGTGGTCCACGCTGTCACCGGACTACAAGAGGCCGAAGAGAATGCTGCCCAGGGGATGTAAGTCATTTCTCATGGAGATCTTCGCTGGTGCGGCGACCCTCAGTTGCCTTGCTGTCAACATGGGCCTTGACATCTCGCCGCCCATCGACATCGCCTATGATGACAGATACAACCTTTTGAAGAAGGCGAACAGAGATCACCTTGAGAAATTGATTGAGGACGAAGACCCTTTCTTGCTCACACTTGCCCCAGTATGTGGACCTTGGAGCAGCTGGCAGTACGTCAACATGGCCAAAGATGAAAGCACCAGGGAGAAGATCATCCAGCAGCGCAAAGAATGGTACCCTGTCCTTCAGTGGGTAGCCAAGATCGTCAGAGCGAGATTGGCAAAAGGCCGTGAAGTGCTGGCTGAAAACCCATGGCCATCGCTTCTATGGCGATTGCGTTGTGTGGAGGACCTCTTCACGGAGCCCGTCTACAACTCCATCACGGACGAGCCCCTGGAGCTGGTGAGGATTGACCAATGCATGTATGGCCTCATGGATGAGGAGACAAGTCTACCAGTCCAGAAGGCCACAGGACTACTGCTCTCATCTCGCAAGATGAAAGAGCTCCTTCAACTACGTTGTGATGGGCAACATCTACATCAACGACTTGAAGGAGGATCGAGAACGAAGAAGGCTGAGCAGTGGCCTGAGAGCCTATGCTTCTCCATTATCATGGGTGCGGTTGAGGAGATGAAAAGTCAAGTGGTGCAACTTGCATTTGCGACCGAAGCCGCACAAGAAGAACAAGAAGAAATGGGTCCGCTTGATGGAATTCATGGACCTGATGACGCTGAGGAGATGCCTGCGAAACGGCGTCGGATCAACCTGGAGGAGCTAGCTGGACAGAGAAGAAGACTATGAGGAGAAGTACGTGGACAACACCGACGAGATCGTGGCGCACAAAGAGAAGGTGAGAAGAGACAACTGGCTGAAGATCAGCAAGGACCAAAGAATAGCCTTGAGGAGATTGCATGCGATGATGGGCCATTGCTCAACGGAAGCCCTCATCCGCATGTTGCGAGCATCTGGCTGTGACCGACGAGTCATTCAAGCAGCCAGATACTTCAGATGCCCGAGCTGCGATGAGATCAAGAATCAAGATCGACCACGAGTTGTCAAACCCATGAAGGAGCCCCACCAGATGCAGTTCAACAAGGAGGTGTCGATTGACGTCTTCGAACTCCACGATGCCATGGAAGCTCGACACACGGTGCTGAGTATGGTGGATGTGGCCACGCACTACCAGATCGCAGTGAGACTTGGATCTGGAGGAACACCGTCTTCGAAGATTTGTGCTGAGGCCATGAACCAGTCTTGGTCCACACCTTTTGGTGCACCTGGAGCTGTGGTAACTGATCAAGGAGTTCACAATTCTGGAAAAGTTCGAGGGCTACTTTTGGCACATGGCGTGGACATCAGAAGAATTGGTGCACAAGCACCGCACCAACTTGGCATCGGCGAAAGACATGGTGGTTTGCTGAAGGCCATCATGAAGAAGGCCATTCACAACAGACAACTGGCCGGTGCTGAAGCGATGTCAGCCTTGTGTGCCGAAGCATCGCGTGTGAAAAATGTGACAATCAACCTGGGAGGTTTCAGCCCTGCACAGTGGGTCTTAGGACACACACCAACTGATTGGAGCAGCTTGGTTAGCCATGACGGAGAAAGGCAATTGGGTCTACACCAGAACTTGGTTGATATGGAGGAGGAGAAGACCCCACAAGAATCATTTATGATTCAGCTGCTCATTCGTCAAGCTGCCAAGGAAGCTTTCATGCAGGTGGACAGCTCCCAGAAGATCAGAAAAGCGATGCTGCGCAAAGCTGCACCCATCAGGGGACCATATCGTGTGGGCAACATGGTCAATTTTGAGAGAAAAGGAAAGTGGTATGGACCGGCACGCGTCCTGGCATATGAAGGACGTGCCTCACTGTGGTTGGTCCATGGCGGTGTGACCATTTTGGTGGCAGAAACATCGTGCAGACCATCTTCATCCGAGGAGATCTTCAAGAAGAACATCCTGGAGCAACGCCCGATCAGAAAGAGAAGATATCAATTGATATCACCAGATGAAGAGGAGGACAATCCAATGGAACAAGTACCATTTTCAAGAGATGGTGATGAAGCGAGGCATTTGCGGCCAAAGTTTGATGGACAAGCACCCTACGTGGACGTGGCCGATGCCCCGACTGTGATGCCATTGGAAGCCCCTGGACAAGAACATCCAGCACCACCTGGAATGGCTGCTACCCCAGGAGGATTTGCTGATGGAACCGCTGATCATGGTGCACCACAACTTCCAGAACTGCCTGAACCATCTCCAGATCCAGATTTTGAGGTGTTTACACCACCTGGATTAGATGATGATGATTTGGTGCCCAGCCTATCGACCAGCGACACGAGCGGCCAACCGGAGAATGAGGTGAGCCCGGAGACTACTATGTCTGAAGTGACCTCAACTTCCAATGCAGCACCTGGACTACCTCCTGGACTACCTCAACTTTCTGCTCTACCTGTTCAACATCAACAACATCATCAAGTACCAGCAGGCACATTGAACGAGGCACTTCGCGATCCTGGACGTCTTGATGGATATCCCAGATCCTACGTGGCCTATAAGGAGGACAAACAGTTCGCCTTTGTCGCGACCAGAGGAGACAAGAAGGTGACCACGAAGGTGAAGAAGTATGCGAAGCGCAATCAAAAGACCGGAGCAGGCAGAGAGGTGATCTATGACAAACAGGAGCCCGAGATCCAGAAGAAGCTCGACGCATCACGTCTGAAAGAATGGAACAATTGGAAGACCTACACCAATGGGAAGTGGATTTCAGAAGCTGAACTACAGCAGATGAAGAAGGAACACCCTGAGATGAAGGTTATTCCAACGAGATGGGTCGAAGTTGACAAAGCAGAAGTGGGACAAGAACCTGTGATGAAGTCCCGCATCGTTGTGCGAGGTGATTTGGAAGATGCCAGCCGGATGAGAACTGACTCACCAACCTGCAGTCAGCTCATGCTGTCAACAGTGTTGACAATGGCAGCATGCAGAGACGTTGATCTCTGGGCCGGCGACATCTCTGCGGCCTTCCTTCAAGGTTCAGCCATGGACCGCATTTTGGTGTTGAAGATGCCAAAAGGCTTACCTGAAGAAGATCAAGGAGAATACTATGTGGTCTCAACGACCGTCTATGGCACCAAAGATGGACCTCGAGGATGGTACAAGAACCTCCACACCACAACGATGAAGGTTGGACTACGACCTGTACCTCATGAACAAGCTGCGTTCGTGCTCAATGATGAG